GTGTTTAGTGAATAGCCAACTTAGGCAAAAAGACTAAGTTGGGGGTGTGGTGAAAAGGAAAAGGAAAAGTCAAGAAGTGCAAGAAAGTCTCCTGAACCTATTGTATTGCAAAAACAAATGGAAACCCTCCAAATAAAAAAAAGAGAAAAAGAAAAAGAAAAGAAAAGAAGGAAAAAGAAAGTCGTGGAATAAAAGGGCAAAGGAAACTAGGTTTCCAAGCAATACATGGAGAACAAATAATAGGATGACTTATGAGCACTAGAAGAAGAATTGAGAAAGGAAGGGAAGAGGATGCCTTGAGAACATCACATCTCACGAGGATGAAAGTCACTGAGCCTAAATGACCATACCTTTGCACTCAGCCCCATTACAATCCTTACAAAGACCTTTGTGATCTTTAGTAAGCCGAATCAAAAGTCAATTGGAAAATAAGGGCAAACTTATGGGTGAAAGCATGCATTGTGTTCCTTTTTTTGAGTGTGAGTGTTGTATCTGATTCCTGATCTTACATTGACTCATATCTGTGTGTGAATATGAAATCATTCTTTACGTGATAGAATTTAGATACTTTTGTTGAGCTTGAACTTGCACAAGTAGCAAGTCTTGCGAGCATGAGAATCTTTGGTAATGGTGTGTCACAATTGGAATCTTTGAGTACACAAGTGATCCTTGCATAAGTAAATTGAGCCTTGTTGTGTTTATTCATGATTTAGTCTTGTGTAGCACCATTTGAGGCACCCTATTTGAATTGCTGAGCTTGAGTTTGCTTGAGGACAAGCAAAAGTTTAAGTTGGGGGTGTTGATGAGTCCACAAATTGGACTCGTTTAGGGCTTTATTTTAATAGAAATAGTGTCCTTGAATGCTTGTTTTATCTCAATACCTGATTAAAATGCTGAAGTTTCACGTATTTAAAGTTTTAGTGGAAGCATGGACACTTAGGTGCAAAACAGAACAAATAGGGCTGAAAAGAACATGAAATGGAATCCTGCGGATTGCTGAGTTCAACTTGGCGAGTCGCCGAAAAGTCATGAACCGCCCTTCGTTCCAGTACGCAAAGCCTTGAAGGAAGTGGATCAAAAGGCGAGGAAAGAAGCAGTCGGCGAGTTGCTGATTAGTTCCGCGAAGCAGCACTGTACCGCCCAATGATCCAGAATGTGAGGATGCTAAAGGCAAGACACTGAAGGCGATGAGCTGACCAAAAAGAGGATCGCTGAGTTCATCGGCGATCTTGACTAATGTCGTCGAACAATCCTCCGCAGCACAACTATGAAAACTATAAATACTAGTTAGAATTGTAGTCTGTGTGGAACATTTTTAGAGTAAAATATTTTATTAGGCTATAGTATTTTTCTCTGAAGTTTGGAGAGGGTTTTGTGGAGACTTGAAGAAAGGAGTTATTCTTCCCCAAGTTGGAAGTAGGTCTTCTCTATTCACTTTCCTTTGCTTAATTCAAGGTTTAATTTCTTATACCCAGTTGATTTCATTATCATGTTAGGTATAATTTCTTATTTCTTGATGTGTGGCTAAAACCCCCCATTCTTGGGGTGTGATTTAGCAAATATGGGTTGATATTCTTGTTGGGTCTTGCTTGTTGATGGATTAGATGTATGTTAATGGTGATTTCAGCTCATGGTTGTGGTTTAATCTAAAGGGTTTGTAGTTGAAAATACAAAGCCACCTATGTGTTTTCGGCTTGCCCGAGAGGGAGGTCGCGAAACCAAAAGCACTAGACTGATGGCCTAAGGAGTGGGTCGACATGAGGTTTAGCCTGAGAGGGTGAGCCCTAGTCCCATATCCTAACACTCAGCTCGAGAGAGTGAGTGGCGTAAGGCGTAGGCTGGTCTTCATGCGGCAAATGGATGTCTGATAGGAACACATTTGAAACGGGGTAAGTTGCCCTAGAGGGAACTTATTTCCATTTAAAGCTTACCCTAGTCACTATTATCTTGCAAATTTCCTATTGAAAGCATGTACCCAACAATTTATCTCAACTTGTATTACGGTCACATCCCTAGAATCTTTCCCCATACTTGATTTTCTTGTTTATTTTGTTGTTTGAGTACTTGTTACAAAACCCCCTTTGAGATTTGACATTTTTGTGTCACATCTTTTTAATTTACTATGTCTTTTATCGCAAATGTCTTTAACTACGACTAACTTGATTGAAATTCTAATTGGTTATTAGTTCTGAAAACCGCTCCCTTGGGACACGACCCCAACCCTCGGTTGGGTTACTATATTATCGACGATCGTAGACACCGTATCGTAGGATAGTGTCGTTGGTCACGATATGCATCAGGCACTCCGGCCTCCATCCACCTAGGGGTGGTGTCAGAAATCATACTATGTTACTCATGTACGAAATCTGTAGCCCTTAAAAATACAACGTTGATACCATCGCCGCTTGATGTGCCGCGAAATCTTTGCACATTTGATGCTTGAAAACTAAGGATTAATACTAGAATCGAATGTATTTTTGTATGCTTTGATGTGTTTCTTAAATGTATAGACAGATTCTTGCTTGCGTTTAAAAAATGGAAAAAGAAGCAGAATATGATTGTGATCAAGTTAAGACCACAAGCATCTAGACGGGTCGTAGTCCTTGTCACGAACCATGGTGCTAGACATGAATTATTTCCAGTATGAAGGGTTGAAGAAGTTGAGATTAGGTTGGACCAAGTAAAGATCACGGACAGCGGTGACAGACAGTGGTCCCTATGACGGTCCGTTGAATTGCCTGTGGTAATTACCCAGTGTGTTGACCTTGAAGATCCAAAGTGGCAGAAGTGCCAAGTAAAGACCACGAGGGGTTTCACGAACCGTTAAGCCCTTGACGGGTCGTAGAAGTGGTCGTGAAGTGTCTGACAGTTCAGTCCTACTTCGAGTAGGACTATTTTTTAAACACTTTTGTTTAAATTAATTAGGTCGTTTTTAGTTTTTATCTCATCTTACCTTGAACGACGAACATGTTTCATTATTCTTAACTTTTGGTTTTGATGATTAACATTGAATTAAATTTGGAAGTTGAATTTTTTATTCTTGAATTATCAAAGTACGTATCAATTTACTTATCTTCATAGTATTTTTCTTATCATGTTTTCATTATATTCTTCTGAATACTTACGTGAAATCATGAGTGGCTAAATACCACAACTGGGATTGTGGGATCTATGGCGTAAATCGAAGTGTAATTCCGTAAAGCAAGTTATAGGTGATTTATATTTTCAAATTATAATTTAGCTTTCGTTATTCATTTATTCTAATGAGTGCACACATTGGAGTGAGCATGTCTGTCATTTGTTCGAGAGAAAAATGATAGGTAGGAAAAGGTTAAATTAACCGGAAGAATGGAGTCAAAGTTTGGGCTCGAGAGAAAAGAACTTTAACACTATTGTAAGCGAGGGTACAACTAGTAACACTCTGGGACTGAGAGGACTTGAGTGAAAATTATCTATTTAGACTGAGAAGTATAAGCGAGGGTACAACTAGTAATACTCTGGGACCGAGAGGACTTGAGTGAAAATTATCTATTTAGACTGAGAAGTATCAGATATATTTAACTCGTATGTATTTTGTAGAAATAAATTGCCTGAAACTCAATTACGGAAGAACATTAGATGTAACGTTATGGGGAACACAATCCTAGTTTCATTTAATCATCGAAACAACTTTAGAACTTAAAACTCTGTTAATTGTTAATCTGAATTTTGATTACCAATTTTAGTTACTAGAACATCACAACTAAACCGATTTTACTTTCCATAACTGTTTCTTTAGGAAATAATAACGATATTTGAGTAAATGCGACAGTGAAATCATTTATGTAAAAAAGTTCTATAAATTGATTTCGACCGTTTATATCTCTTAATTGAGGTGTAAGTTTGGACGTATTAAATTTTGGCGCCGCTACCGGCGAATTTCAATTCAGAAGTGTTTTACTAGCTTTTATTCGAGTTGTAGTTATCTTTCCTAATTTTACATCTTGTTCTTTGTCTGTGTCTCTTTCAGGTGAGTTCAACAGTGTATGCCAAATACCAGAAGTAAGGGAGCCACATTGATCCCATACGACCCAGAACATTAGAAGACACTCCGTAAAATGGTGAATGCATAAGAACTTGAGGCAAAGATTGGGACTGGAAGCTGAAACCGCTGCAAGAGGTATGCATCAGAATGTTGTGAACAACCCGCCTAGGGTGGTGGAAGAAAATATAGCAGTGGATGAAATCATTCCTCTCGACCGCCAACCAATAGCTCCAAGGGGTAGAGTACAACATCCAGCTCACATGATATATGAAGAGTATGACATTGACATGGATGGAGCTAGAGCCACATGAGCGATAGTGTTACCTGCACTACCTCCAGGTGTGAAATTCAAAATCACCAGCACTATGATTCAACTACTGAATCTGAAAGGTATATTCAGGGGTGCAGCTGGTGATGATGCTAATCAACATCTGATGAAATTTGTGGCGATTTGCAAATCGTAAGAAATTCCTGGAGTTAGCCAAACAATGATGAGATTGAGACTATTTCCATTGTCTCTTACTGGAGAGGCAACCAACTAGTTGAATGAGATGTCGGATGACTCAATCAAGACTTGGACTGAGTTGAAGGAAGCTTTCCTGGAATGATTCTTTTCGAAATCAAAAGAGTTGCAAATGAAAGACGAGATAAGTACTCATAAGCAGCTACCAGGAGAAGTGATGTATGACACTTGGTGGAGATTCATCCAAAAGCTGAAGAAGTGCCCAAACCATGGTCTCATTGAGAGACATCTAAAACAAGCTTTCTATAGATCTTTGAATCATGTTACTAAACCTGTAGCTGATGCAGTATGTGGAGGATCATTTATGAGGAAGCCATTCTCAGAGAGCATGCAACTGATGGACGAGGTGTTGAAGAATAACAGGGCACTAGGGATGCAGAAGTAGGAGATCTTGGGTACACTTTTGAACATTCAGCTGAACAAAGGAAAGAGGAAGAAGAAAGGGATCAGGACATGGCACACATGAGGACCCAAATAGATCTACTCACGAAGCATATTATTTCAAAGTCTGAAAAGGTAAATGCTGTGGGACAGCTAAACAGGTATGAAGGTTAGGATATCGATCTAGATGAGAAGGCTAATTACCTGGGCAAACAAGGAGGTTTCCTGAAATATAACTTAAGAAACCAGGGTTACAACTCTAGAAACGCAGGTCGGAACTACTCTAGAGAAGGACAATATGATAGGCCAGCAAACAGAGAGCAGGGAAACTAGCAGAACAGAGATAGGTACATAAATGATTGCAGTGGTGTGTATGTTCCCCCAGGTAATAGAGACCGGGCAAGTGGTAGTTCCAGCGGGTCTAAATTGGAAGATATGTTGGCCAAAGTGCTCTAAAAAGTTGAATCAACTGATACAGGGGTGAAGGAGATGAAAGGTGATTTCTCCAGTATGAGTCAACTGGTAGACTCTCACACCACCTCCATCAAGCAAATTGAGCAGCAATTGAGGCAACTTTCAGCCTCATTAAATCAGAGGAAGAATGGGTCACTACCAAGTGACACGATCCAAAATCCTAAGATGGACGGGCATTGCATGGCTATCACCACCAGGAGTGGTAAGATTCTTAATGACCCAATTTCTGTAGGTAGTAAACATGAGCAGGTCTTGGAGCAAGGTGGAAGAGAAGAGGATGAAGCTGAACAAGTAGATGACTTGGATGATGTTCAACCAATAGTAAAATCAGCAGGAGCAAAAGAAAAAGAGGTTGAGGGAACTATGCCTTTACATCAGATCCTAAGACCACCTCCTTCTTTCCCTCAAAGGCGTAAAAAGAAAGCTAAGGATGGGAAATTCATGAAATTCATCACCATGCTGAGACAGCTAACAGTGAATATTCCACCAGTGGAAGCACTAAAGCAGATGCCAAGATATGCCAAGTTCATGAAAGACTTGGTCACAAAGAAAAGAGCTATAAGTATTGATTTGACTGACAATGTTCATCACTATAGTGCTATTGCTACCGGGTCTCTGGCACAAAAGAAGGAGGATCTGGGTGTATTCACCATACCGTGCATCATCAGATCAATCGAATTTGTAAAGGCATTGTGTGATTTAAGAGCCAGTATAAACTTGATGCTGCTGGCCATCTACAAGCAATTGGGGTTAGAAGTTCCTAAACCCACAACAATAAGGTTGATGATGTCAGATAGGTCAGTGAAGCGACCTGTGGGCATCCTATGTGATGTGCTCTTAAAGGTGGACACGTTCATCTTTCTAGCAGACTTCGTAATCTTGGATTATGAACTAGATTTTGAGGTTCCCATTATTTTGGGAAGACCATTTTTGGCCACTGGACGAGCATTAGTAGATGTTGAGAGAGGAGAACTGTAATTCAGACTCAACAAAGAAGAGGTAAAGTTTGATATTTACAGGTCAATGAAACAACCACATGACATGAATGTGGTGTCTGCGATAGAGGTTTTTGATAAAGAAGAGATTGAAGCAACCATTGAGGCAAGGCTGGCTGTTGAAACATTAGCAGCCGTTTTGATGAACTTTGAAGCTGATTTCCAGTCTGACTATGTAGAGACCGTGAATGCTTTGCAGGGAATGGGAGCACACGCTTATGCTCCAAAGCAACTGGACTTGGATTTGAAAAATAGGCCAAGTCCTCCAGCAAAACCATCTATTGAGGAGCCACCTGTGCTGGAACTGAAACAGTTACCCAGTCACCTGAGGTATGTATTTTTGGGACTAACAACACTTTACATGTGATTTTGGCTACAGATTTGAATGATGAACAGGTTCAAGTTGTGATCAAAGTGTTGATAAGGTACAAGAGAGCTATTAGGTGGACCATTGCTGACATCATCAGGATACCTCCAAGTATATGCACCCATAAGATCCAACTTGAGCAGGACTGTAGCCCAAGCATTGAACACTAGCGGAGGTTAAACCCTCCTAAGCAAGAGCTGGTTAAAAAGAAGATCATCAAGTGGTTAGAGGCTGGGGTGGTATACCCTATTTCTGACAGTCACTAGGTCAACCCAGTGCAATGTGTTCCCAAAAAGGGTAAACGCAAAGAATGAGTTGGTCCCACAAAGACCAGTCACTGGATGGCGAGTGTGCATGGACTACAAGAAGTTGAACAAGTGGACCTTGAAGGATCACTTCCTGATGCCATTCATTGACCAGATGCTTGGCATGTTGGCAGGACAAGGGTGGTAGTATTTCTTAGATGGATAATCTAGCTATAACTAGTTATCAATTGCTCCTGAAGATTAGGAAAAGACCACCTTTTGCATGTCCTTATGGCACCTTTGCATTTAAATGCATGCCATTTGGACAAGGTAATGCACCAACAACTTTCCAGAGGTGTATGATGTCCATCTTCTCGGACATGGTGGAGGACAGTCTGGAGGTCTTCATGGATGACTTTTCAGTGGTGGGTGACACCTTTGATGACTGTTTGTTTAATCTTAGCAGCACCCTACAGATATGTGATGAGGCTAATCAAGTGCTGAATTGGAGAAGTGTCATTTCATGGTTAAGGTAGGCATGGTCCTTGGGCACAAGGTGTCACAAAAGGGGTTAGAGGTCGACAAGGCCAAAATTGAGGTGATTAAAAAGTGGTCTCCGCCTATCTGTGTGAAGGGTGTTCAAAGTTTCTTAGTACTTGCTGGATTCTATAGGCGTTTCATCAAGGATTTCTCAAAAATTGCACACCCTATGTGCAAGCTTTTGGAGAAGGAGGTGAAATTTGTTTTTGATGAGGCATGTCTCAAAGCCTTTGAATGCCTAAAGGAGAAGCTGATTTCTGCCCTAGTGACCATTGGCCCAGATTGGGCTGAGCTGTTTGAGGTAATGTGTGATGCTAGTTGTACTGCTTTAGGAGTTGTGTTGGAGCTGACGCGCAACAAGATGTTTCATCTGATTTACTATGCTAATAAGTCACTAAATGGAGCCCAGCAAAACTACACAGTTACTAAACAGGAACTACTAGCGGTGGTGTATACTTTTGAGAATTTTAAAGCTTACTTGTTGGGTACTAGAGTGATAGTCAATACGGATCATGCAGCTTTGAGATACATCATGTCAAAGAAAGATGCCAAGCCAAGGTTGATCAGATGGGTGTTACTTCTTCAGGAGTTTGATTTTTAGGTTAAGGATAGGAAAGGTTGTGATAACCAGGTGGTTGATCACCTGTCTAGGTTGGAGGCTGAAAAGAAAGAGGAACTCGAGCTTGAAATAAATGATTCATTCCTGGATGAGCAGTTATTAGCCGCTACTCTTGATCTCATTCCTTGGTTTGCTAATTTTGCTAACTTTTTTGTTAGTGATTTGATGCCTGAGGGGCTGACATTTCAGCAAAGAAAGAGGTTCCTACATGATGTTGGTAAGTATTTCTGGGATGAACCTTATTTGTACAGGGTATGTGCTGATAATATCATTAGGCGATGCATCCCTGAAGCAGAGATGTTGCACATTCTAGAGGCATGTCACTCATCTCCAGTAGGTGGCAATCATGGAGGTGCTCGGACAACCCACAAGATACTTCAATGTGGGTACTACTGGCCCATAATTCATCAGGATGCGATGGACATAGTAAGGAGTTGTGATGTGTACTAGCGGCAAGGAGCCATCTCTCGGCGCCATAAGTTACCCATGACATCTATTCTGGAGATGGAATTGTTTGATGTGTGGGGAGTCGATTTCATGGACCCATTTGTGAGCTCCTATGGAAAGAAGTACATATTTGTGGCAGTGGACTATGTGTCCAAATAGGTTGAGGCAGTTGTTGTGCTTGAGAATGATAGCAAGAGTGTTGCTGGTTTTCTGAAGAAGAATATATTTTCAAGGTTCGGCACACCTAGAGCTATCATCAGTGATGACGGTTCTCATTTTTGCAACAAGGTATTTAGTGCACTTCTGGCCAAATATGGGGTTAAACAACACAATGTGGCAACTCCTTATCATCTGCAGACCAATGGCCAAGTGGAGGTGTCCAATAGAGAGATTAAGACGATTTTGGCTAAAATAGTGAATGCCAACAAGACAGATTGGGCACACAAGTTAGATGATGCTCTATGGGAATATCGTACAACCTTCAAGATGCCTATTGGTATGTCTCCATATCAATTGGTGTTTGGAAAGGCATGTCATTTGCCGGTTGAGCTTGAGCATAAAACACTTTGGACTTTGAAGAAGCTGACTCACAGTTGGAGTGAAACAACAAACCTCAGACTGGATCAAATTAATGAGATGGATGAGTTCCATTGGAGAGCGTATGAGAGGTATACACTGTACAATGAGAAGATGAAGTTGTATCATGATAAGCATATTGAGAAGAAAACCTTCACTCTTGGTGACCTGGTGTTACTTTTCAATTCTAGACTTCGTCTGTTTCTGGGGAAGTTGAGATCTTAATGGTTTGGACATTTTAAGGTAACTCAGGTATTCCAGTCAGGAGCTACTAAACTAGAGAATGACAAGGGAGAAAGGTTCAAGGCTAATGGACAGCGAATCAAGGCATACTTGGGGGTTCTAGAAGAAGTGAAAATTGTGGAGGAATGTAAACTTGATGAAGTTTGAGTAATCAAGTAACCTGCGTCCCGCCGTGACTTTAAATTGTGCGCTGCTTGGGAGACAACCCAAGATTGTAATTGTAATAGGTACTTTCTTTTTCCTTATGTTTCTTTGTTTTTATAGTCACTGCGTGTTGATGTGTGCAGAAAGGAGTGGACTAAGACTTGCAGAAACTGCGTGCAAACAGTTTTTCACGAGCAGTCCCACGGGCGGTGGTTCCCTTTACGGGCAACTTCACGGCCCGTCATCCTCAACAACAGCCAAATGAGGCTACTGGAAATTGACATAAAATGGTTCACGGAAGGGTTCACGGTCCGTCATAGTTTGTACGGACCGTCTAGTCTCTTGTGAACCTCAAGTAAGTGCATTTTGTTCAAGTCATATTCACGAACCACTATACGGACCGTGGTTCTCGTCACGGGCAACTTCACAGTCCGTTGTCCCTGATCCAGAATGTCTGCAACCCAACCCGACCCGACCCGACCCACGCGTAAGGAATAATTGAAATTAAACGTATATAGGTTGTTTCAAACGCCAAAGGTTAGTTTTTCCTCTCTTTTTCCTCTTCCACAACGGTTACTCAAAGGTTATAAAGGTTTGCATCATCTACAAGTTCTAAATTCATAAAAGAAGTCGCAACCCTAGTTCTACAGATTAATCACTTGAAGCCAAATTCATTTCTTCTGTTTTTGGGCGACAATTTCGATCCCGTTCAAAGTAAGTTTACTGTTAACTTGTTATAAGCATGAACTTATCAATCAATAAGTTAAAACTACCTTGATTGTGTCGAATTTCAGCATTATTGTTGATGAATGATTATTGGTAATTCCTAATTGTTGTGGGTTAGTTTGAATTGCATAAATTTGATTGTTATTGTATGTGGGTATGATCACCATAGGTCGTGATTGTGTTTGATGTAAATGATGATCGATATATGTGTTAGAGTGATTGAACTCATGTGCTAATAGATCTTATAACTTCCTGATGAGGTGAAATTGGGCATAGGTTGTTGTTGGAAGGAAAGAGTACTGAAAAAAGGGCCAAGTGTAAGTCCACGATGGGCTTCACGGACCGTGGAATAAACTACAGGTCGTGATACCCCTCGTGGACCACACTTGGAGAAAAGAGAAGTACACTGGGGAGGACCACAATGGTCTTCACAGACCATGGTTCACTCCTCGGACCATGAAGTCGTCCGTGATCCATTCCAGTACAATGACCCTCATAGTTAAGTCACTATATGATATTTATGAGGGCCTTCACGAACCGTGGTACCCACCACGGCCCGTCTGGGCTTCTGTACAAAAACATAAAATAAAAAATTCAATTTTACTTTCTATATTTTTATTTCTTTTCTGTAGGTTGATTTTGTGGACCTTGCCAATGATAGATTGGGTGATGACTTTCTTAAGGAAAGGCGTCACTTTGTAATTACACAGGGAAAGTCTGAGTACTCGACAATGTGTTGTTTCACTAAATTGGTTATTAATGGGTGGTTGCATTGTTCAGGTACTATGGCACCCCGAAGAAAGAAAGCAGCTACACATTCCTCACCTACTGCTTTGCAATTCGAAGGTGATCATACTCAGGAATCTAGTAGTTCAGAAGTACAGATAAATGTTACACCGGAAGATCACCCACCTCGATCTACTAGATCCAGAACAGCGACGACCATTCTCCAGGACACACCTCCCAGTCTGAAGAGAGAGGTAGTAGTTCCGGTAGCGGTGAGGAATCGGGAAGTAAATCTAATGTTGGTTCAGGTAGCCAGTATGATGATGGTTTGAGAGGTAGTGCAGAGTCCA